CACAGTCAGTGTGCAGACAGCATGGAGGAGGGAACGCGGCTCACGGCGACCCTTTGCTGCCGGTGTATCGGCCAACGTCTTATAATTGTCCACGGAGGCAGAATCTGATGAATAGGTAAGACAAGGAGGACATGGTTGGACGATAAATTTATCGCTTACCGTTCTTGGTCTTTTTATTTTTGTTTGTGTTCGTGGGCGCCATCACAGAGCCCGCACGCTTCCGCGTCGCTCCCTGAGATTGCATCCACACTACCATGACACCAGGTGATTCATCACTCGACGATAACGAGTGAATAACAGTACGTACCGCGGTTCTCAACAGCCTTCACTTTGGCGTCTCGAGCAGCTGTTCGCACACAGTGAGTCTGTTACATTACCGGAACAGCGCATTGTGTGCTTACTCGTAGGTTTAGCTGTAATTTTTGCATCTTGTTCGTCTCGAATCCGCTTGTTTATGGCCCTCGTCTGCGCTGCTTTCTGGCCTCGACTGAGAGCAACTGCACCTGGTGCCCCTGTCTGTGTCTTTGACATCACGAGAGACAAGGCAGCGACCGGGAGATGTGACGAGCAAGCGTGGTGATGGTGAGCTTCCACGACGGAGGAAACGTCGATAGAGGGGAGGAAGATGCGCCAGAGAAATTTTCAGAGCAGGGTGTAGGGAGATACCGGATTCGGGGCCTGCGGCATGGTGCGCACGGCTCGTCTTGCCGGATGGACTTGAGGGATTTGCCGCAGCGGACTTCACGCGACTTGGGGAGCTCCCGCTGCTTTGGACGCGCGCATAGGCTTCCGACAATGACTACCTGTGCAGGATGTAATCGTCAATTTACTCTGGCAGGATATACACACCACCTCCAACGTACCCGCAATTCGGCGTGCCAGGACATATACATGGATATTCAGTCATACGTCCCTGTGCCACATGGCACCGATATGTCAGGAGCAGAAGATGCAGTAGGCGACCAGGATGCGCCTCTCCTGACTTTCAGCGGTGATTTCTTTGGGCAGGACTATGCTCCGAGCGATTTTGGGACAGAGCCAGGCATGGATGTCGATGAGAGCGGAGACCGTCCAGAAAACCAACGGGAATCTCGTGATCCGCTGGACTGTGAGTCTGAGGATGAAGGAGAGTCAGATGGAGACGATGAAGCCGAGACTGACCTGGGAACAAGGTGGGAACCGGTTCCGCCTCAGGTGCTCCCAGAGGCAGACGATTGGGAGGAAGACGCCATGGCTGCTGTGGAGGAGGAAGCGGGCGGAGCTAGAGCCGAGCGCGTGGTTGCGGAAGATGGACTACGCAAGAAACCTGTGGTTGAGAAGTTCACGCTGGGATCAGCAGGGCGACCAATCCAGGACGACGCACCAACAAACCTGTATAGTCACTATATGGATGGCCCAGGGGCGGGAGCCTCGGAGACGAACCCATGGGCACCATTTGCATCGAAGCTGGACTGGGAGGTAGGACGTTGGGCAAAGCTGCGTGGGCCGAGCTCGACAGCTCTTACTGAACTACTTCAAATCGAAGGTGTAAGTCCGTTCAATCACCGATGACGGCTAGTTTTAATCCTGCTACCTGTTAATAGGTCCGGGATTCACTGGGATTATCATATAAAGATGCCGACTCCTTAAATAAGATTGTTGATGCCTTACCTGGGCGTCCTAAGTTTCGACGAGAGGAGGTCATCGTAGCGGAAGAAGCCTTTGAAGTCTATCATCGTGATGTACTGGAGTGTATACAGGCACTCTACGGTGATCCTGAGTTCGCGGCGGACTTGATCTTTGCGCCAGAGAGGCACTACTCCGATCCAGACATGACGATCCGGATGTATTCGGATATGCACACTGGTAAATGGTGGTGGGCGACGCAGGTAAGCCAGGAAGCACTACTACATGTGACGTCTGTGAGCGGATGATTAACACCACTCTCTAGAAGGCAATTGAGCAGGATCAACCTGGTGCTACGATTGTCCCTGTGATCATCTCGTCTGATAAGACACAGGTGACGTTATTTGGAAACAAGTCCGCATATCCCATCTATATGACCATTGGCAACCTACCAAAGGAAATACGGCGGAAACCATCACGAGGTGGCCACATACTTT